AAAACGGGCGCCGAGTCGGATGAGGCAGCGAAACCGCACATCAATTAATTGAACAGGGACAGGATAGATAAAAGAAATTATTAGGTCCAGTTATAATTTTAATAGAAACTAAATAATTGTGACGTCATACCCTTTCCTCGGCCCCGTGCGTTTGCGTCCCCCTTTTCACTGTGTCCACTGCGTCCCTCAGGGTACAAATGATTGGCGTTCAAAGTACTGTTACGATGGGTTATACATCATTTGTGTCACTTTGATGTTATTAGGGAGCCCTCCTATTCGATGGACGTGTCACCTGTCACATCGTCTTAAACATCCTCGATTGTTTAATCGTCCAGAATATCGAGAATGACCTTTAAAAAAAATCGCTTTGGCATTTAAATGAACAAAAATTGACCAATTCTGAGAATATATGTTAGACCATAAAATATAATTGAGTATTTGTAAATACTACATTCCAGCCTATTATTTGCTCTTCTCTCTCATAGTTCTTAATGATGGTATTATCTTGAAATCTAACTTTGGAGTGCTTCTTAGATTACAATAGAAAACATTGTTTTCTCCAGGAATAGATACAAACCTATTAGTATATTAAAGCATCTGGAGATTGCACGAGGAAAAAATAGGTGCAAGCGGATACTCAAACCAAGCACACATGAATGGTCGCATTTTAATATTTTCGCAAATTTATTTCCCCACGAATTTAAAAATTTTGAAAGTTTCAGTAATCTTTCTTCAGGAGGCAAGACACGATCTTCGGTTTTGATTTTTAAAAATATTGAACGATAATAGCGTATTTTCCATGTCATTCAGCCACGACATAGCTTTTAGTGCGGCGTTGCATTGTGATTCATTACCACGCGCAAATATCAAACTGCAGCCGGAAATCGCAGCGATCGGTTCCCAAGTAGTGTGGAAAAATCGCGAATTGCGAGCAGTGCAAAGGAAAAACTTCCGTAGTTGGATCCGATCGAGCGGCGACGCGAGTTTTGCGGTAAAGTTCTACGACAAAACGATAAATTTTATTCTCACGCAAATTGATAAACCGGCCGCGATACTTGATAAAGGAGCCCGAGCTTGATTTTCTCACCGCCAGGCGCCCCCTCCCTCCATCCACTACCCCGCCACCCGCACATGCGTCCACGAGGCCGCGGTCGCGACCAGAAAATTAAGAAATCTAATCCAGCTTCCGTTCACACGAGCCATGACCGCTGCCACCAGACTAGGCCCACGCTTAAACTGCTCTGCAAAGAAAGAAACAGAGACGTTTCTTGCAAGTTGACAACACTGTTTTCCTCCATTTAAATCCATCGGAAATATCGTTTCAAGAGGAGGCAAGCTTCCTCACCAGAATCGATTGTTTTCCATAAATTTAAATGGAAGAAATACAAAGTTGCCAACTTTCAAGAATTTTTTTTTAATTTTTTTTTTAAGCTGATGGAAACGACTTATTGCGCAAAGTATTTTTTATGGTAATTGCGACGGCTGAAGTTTCCTTATGTTCCGTTCCATAGCCCTATCTTAATCATGTGATACATATGTCGCAGGATAGGACCGAACTTTGTTCGTCAGTTCCTTTTGCTGCTAGAGTTCGCTTACACGAACCGAAAGTTTTGTTTGACAAACCGAATTAGTTGAGATGATAAGGATCATCGAACTTCGGTTCATTCGACCGAATTTTTTTTTTCAGGGGAGAGTTCAGGACACTTTCCACATGTCTCAGAGCAATCGGTCGATTTCACCGAAAATTTGATTTCGCCGTGAAAAGTACTTCAAAAAAACCCGAAGTAAAGATGAACGCGGAAATATTGAGCGGTGTAGTGGTGGGATAAGCATATCGGGAAAAAAAAGTTTATAATCTTTGTAAGGACGGCAGAGAAACCCCTCGCAGCGAGAACGGTAGGTTTCGAAGCTTCCGACGGGCGAATGACCGGACTGTCTATGTCAATATGAAGAACTGCAAATTCTACTGGAAGGTAATGGATCACCACTTGGCCAACAACGCGACGTTCGTTGTGAACCTCTGAACGAAAACGATACGTCAAATCAGGAAAAATGAGTTCATAATTAAAAAGAATCACAGAATAAATGAGCCAGTTGCGATAGTCACGAGATCGTGTTTTGGTGCTTGATTCTTAAAGATTCGCTAAAAGTAAGAAGAAATGTCCGAACAGAAAATTTCTACGTTAAATATTAACTGAGAAACAACTTAAAACGGGACTGCGGCCGCAAAAAATAAAAAGAAACACATAAGATAAGAAACCCGGGACGTTTCGCAGGGATCACACCCGCATTTTCAACCGGCCAAACAAGGAAAATTAAAAGAAAAGACACTGTGAACGTCACTGTTGTTATTGCGTGAGACTGATAGTGCAACCAAAATAAACGAACGAGTCCAAGTTGTTAAATATTGACTGAGATATCGTCCTTTAAAAATGCGTGTTTTTGACGTCATCCACCACGGTAGTGCATTACATGGTATGTATTACCGCGGTGGATGACTTCATAAATCGAGTTTTCAAGGTGCGATATCTGGGTTAATATTCAATGTAGAAACATGCTGTTTCGACAGATCATATTATTTTTGGCTAATCTACAGGAATCAAGCATCAAAACACGATTCTGTGACCCGCGCAACTGACCCATTGCGAGTATGGGTGTAGCTTCCGGTAAACGGGTGGGACGCACAGTCGTGGTGGCACGATAAGAAAAATTCCGAGGAGTTCTAAGTAAGAGGGAATCCTTTCCGAACGCGGAAGCAGACGAATCAATGCAAGTTTAATGATAACGGCTGCCCGATTGCTCGGGGGCAAACCGAAATAATTAAGACCTTGTTTTAAGTCGGAGCCGTCGTCCGCAGGGGCGCGGGCGGGGCGGGGGCGGATCGCGGGGGCGAGTGGAGCCCGGGAGGGGGAGGCTGAATGGACGACATGTGTTAATGACTGGTCAGTAATTAATCGTCGTTCGCGCGACAGGGACATTATTGGCTCCGTTGTCATCTCCCCGAGGGAGCTCCGACTCCGGGCTCCAACTTAGTTGCCGGGCACACTTAGTACTTTCCGTCCGTGTCCCTTTTGTCTCGGGCCGGACAGCCCCCCCCCTCCAGCCCCGCGGCTTCCCAACTCCGAACGCAGCGCCCTAAATTGACACTTCGACAAAACTTCATAATTATACTTACAATTTGGCCCGCCGACTCGACGCGCCTCACTCCTCGGTTTCCAGTGACACCCCCCCCCCCCCCCCGACATCATTCACTCCGTAAACCCCCGCAGATTTTTGCCCGGCCCCCGGTCAGAACTTTTCTCTTGCTTTTAAACTTTCTTTGGATAAGCGTCATTTTTTTATTCCTCTCTCTTAAAAAATATGCATTTACACTGGTAAAAAAGAAACATATTGGATCTAGAGTCCAGACTCTTGAAAACGCATTGACAAGAAAGAGGACTCTTGATTTTATCAGATTTAAGCTTAAATCAAAAGGAAATCCGCTCAAATTAAGAGGCTTCGTTCTTGACTTAAGCTTAAATCTGACTGAATCAAGAAAATTTTTTCTTGTCGATGTTTTAAAGAGTCTGGACTTTAGATCCAGTGTGTTTTTTTCCAGTGTATGATAGCAAAAATACACAGAAATTAACAGTCGAAAAACAACATTCATCATTCGTTTAAAGCTTTCCTCGCATTTACCCTACAGTTTGCTACTGTGACCCGAAATTCCGTCCTGTTAATCAAAATGCATCTCTTGGTTCGGAGGAAATAAGCGACACGATAGGAAAAACTGCATCACAGAAAATTTGACAGAAAAGTTGACGGCCGAAGAAAAAAAATTTCGATTAGTTGCAAGGTCAGGTTAGACGAGCTGACGTTTGCTCCCTTGACCGGGAGTTTTCCCTTCATAACCGGAAGTAGTTCCCAATTTCCATACGAGAATTTTGCGCTGGACACAGCTGCATTAGCCTTATCTAGTAAAGCTGAAGTAAAAATTTTACGATGTAAATTTTAGAATTTACAATTGAGCTCCAACTTTCGAGCCCCCTTCAAAATATTGTGAAAGGGCTTCTTAATATGGCCGTCGCGAAGCAAATGAAAATTCAGCAGCGAAAAAGACATGCAAAAAATCTTTGAAAACAGTTGCTAACGCAAATTGTGTTTTACTCTAGAACGAAACGCAAGACTATGAAAGATTAACTGCTGTAAAGTTATTCGAATGTGTGCAACGGACAGCAATTGGCTGATATTGTTTTCAACGCAGGATGGGCTTTCGAGAAAGGCCGATGGTAATATACATATCTTTGATTTGAGCACTACCCATTCCTACATCTTAGAGCCCCATAAACTACAACATGTAGACTTAGTAGCACTTGGATTCAGGGTTTATAGATACCAAGCTGTTTCACTTCTTTCATATTACTTCCTGAGGGTATCAGACGAGTACAAAATTTTATAGAATTAGTAGTGTGGGCTCAGGTCTTGGTCCCAAGTGGCCTTCTAGCGAGAAAAAAAGGCGATCAAGAGAATTTTGCCATTCCTCCACCGGTAAATTATGGGGAAAACGTACGAATTGATCGAGCAGAAAATTTTTAAGGGAATGTAACTTCTTTTGTGGAATATATTAGTCCTTTCGGTTTCCAATCCGATCAAAAAGATATGATCCTTTTAAGTATAAACCATAAGAGTTCCTTGAGTTGAAGTAGAGTCAATGCACGGCTGTTGCGCCCCATAAGGATGGGTAGCGTTAGGTAATAATGTTCCATGCGAATTGACTTGTGATGTAACGACGCAGCGGTTCAATAATTTCACCTTCATCTCATCGTGTAGGCAAAAATACACCAACAAAGTTAAAATAGTTGCATACAAGATTGTTTCAACAAGTAACTTTAAGAACAAGCATTGTGGTGCTTAAGTCTTGTGTTGCCCTTCGTCTTTATTTTATACAATCTATCACAACTTAAAACTGATTCTTCAGCCGCGCGGGTCACCTATTTAGAACTGATTCATTCTTGTTTCAGGCCAAGTTCACCAATTTCGGGCGATGGCGTTAGGGCAAAGACCGTTCCTGGATTCACCCTTCACGAATCATTTGCGGGAGTTAGAAAGTTATAGGCGGACTAAAAACGAGAACCAAACGCAAGTTGCAGCAACCAACAATTCGTACAAAGCATTAAACCAAACCAGCCAATCCCAAGGTACGTGCTAGGTTATGCTTCAAATTTTCTTTCACATACCCTCGAAATGGTATATAGATTCATTATTTGCTTACATTCTCTTAACGACTTTCGCAAGTTAATAAAGTTGGGAAACAAAACTCTTTCATTTCCGCTGTTGTTCTCAACGGGCTTCATACGATTGCTTTCAAGTTGATGATAAATAAATGTTGATTGGCGGGAATCTATTTTGAAAAAATCCAAACTTCTTTTAAATTCTTGCTTAAAAAGATTAAAATGACGTTAAATTGGTAATCCGTCGCAAAGGAATCGCAATGATAGGTGAGGGGACGTCCATAAAGTACACATTACAGAAAATCATGTTTTTTTATCTTCCCCTCCCCCTCATCCCGCTCCCGTAACATTTTTCTACAAACATTACGTAACGCTATGTTCAAACTACCCACTGTCACCCTAGAAGTGGCGTTTTGTGATGAATTTACAATGAAAAATTGTCATCTCATGACTATATTTTATATTTAATCCCCTACAAAAACATCGGCGCGTAACATCAATTTCAGCGTTATATTTGGCACTCCCCTCCCCTTACCCTGACGGAATCTTTCTTCTGTATACCGCAGGCTCATATTCCCTCCATGAAGTCCCGTAAAAGTTATTTTTCGACTTTTTAAAATGTTTCACACTCACAGTTTATCGGTACAGATGATTTCACCTCAAGTTAATCAGAAAAAAATCAGTTCAACTTGTGTCCCTAAAGATGGTAAATTATGCAATGCTGTGACTTAAAAATAAATTTTTTTAGGAAAATATTGGCATATTTAAACTCAGCGACCCAAAAAATCCCCAGGTTCCTCGTGTTGAAAGGTTTAAACATACAAATGTGATTTAATGCTGCTTTAATCGGGCTATGGGACCATAGTGCTCTGCGCCCACTCCAGAATAAAAGCAGACATAATCATCCGACTCTCCGCTTTTATCATCAAAATCTTGTAAACTAGGGGGTAAGGGGGGCGGGGTATTTCCGGCATATTTGACGAACTTTAATTTCAATCTGGACAAATGCAGCGGAATTAGGTAGGTTCGGTGAAGATTAACTCGTGTTGGGTAAGAGAATCATGGATTAAAGCTGCTGACTGGCTTGCCAAATCTTTCATTATAAATCACATTATCCGGATGCTGTATGGAAGGTTTGTATACGACAGGTATGAGTCGATGGTTAGGGTAAAAATGGAAGACATATCTCCAGGTAATGTTCATTGATTACTGATAAGATTTTATTTTTTCAAAAAAAAATAAAAACTATTCAAAAAATCTTCTTGGAATTATCTGTGAATTTCCTTTGCGTGGGTTAAAAAATTGAAATAAATTTACTGAAAGAACTGCCGATCAATTTTCTTTTGTAAAAAAAAAATAAACATGAGTGCAGAATTGCGATACAGTAATCGCAGAGCACATTTTATGATTTTAGCCATCTGAATGCATTTTCTGGATCTTATGACACACATCTTGTAAAAAACGTGTTCAGCAAGTTTAACGTCTCTATTGCAAAGCAGTAAGAAATCGAATAAGTTAAATTTTGAAATATGCGCGTGTAAAAACACGAATTTTTATGGAAAGACGGTAGAAGCAAAATATTTTTAAAATTTCACCCGTAGAATTTCCTTCCAAAATAAGAAAATGATGACTTTGCCGGTTAGGTTCGCGCGGGCTAATCGGTATGACTCACGGTAGGTAGGTCCTGGATTTGGATCTAGGTTGTGGCGACAAAGTAACGAGTTAGTCGATCTAGAAACTCGCCATTTGACCTTATTATCAGAACATTTGAGATCCGTGGGCTCATCAAGCTTACGGAGACAGGTTAAATGGCAACGCTCCATCGGCACTGCCGTCGCTTTACTATACTCGTCTGTGCTCTGGTATCAATGATCATAAGTTGGGCTACATCTCGCGACAAGGAACTACTATTTCTGACTCCTTTTAGGCGCAACATATGCAGTTACTTCCCCTAGATATACAGGGTGATCCAAAAGTCCCTTCCACCCCCTCTAACTTTTTACCTAAGTGAGATAAAGATTTGAAACTTGGGGGATATTCCTAGGTCAAAGGGAGCTACTTTTTGGCCCCCCTAAAATTTTCAGGGGGGCCCCCCTTGAGGGGGCAACGGCCCCCAACTTTTAATTTTCAATGAGGAGACCCCCTTTGTGATAGCTCGTTTGAAAGAGCATAAAAAAAGAAAACTTTTCGCGCAAACCCGAAGTCAATATCTCAAACTGATTCAAAATGGCGGCCGGTTAAAGTTCAAAATGGCCGAAAATTCACACCGGTTATTTGTCGATGGATTTGCGCGAAAATCGGTAATTACGGGTATTTTGACACGAGAAAAACGAATTTGACCTTAGATTTTCAAAAAAACCAAAATTTCCAAAATGGCCGCTGGTTAAAGTTTAAAATGGCCGAAAATTTTCACCTTGGTTTTTTCCTGATGGATTTGCCTAAAACTTGGAATTTGAGAGTATTCTGGCATAAGATAAACAAATTTGAACTTAGATTTATAAAAAAAAATCAATTTTTGGTCATTTTGAACTTTAACCGGCGGCCATTTTGGAAATTTTGGTTCTTTTGAAAATCTAACGTCAATTTCGTTTTTCTCGTGTCAAAATACCCCTACGTACCGATTTTTGCGCAAATCAATCGACAAATAACCGGTGTGAATTTTCGGCCATTTTGAATTTTAACCGCCCGCCATTTTGAAACGGTTTGAGATATTGACTTCGGGTTTGCGCGAAAAGTTTTCTTTTTTTATGCTCTTTTGAACGAGCTATCACAAAGGGGGTCTTCCTATTTGAAAATTAAAAGTTGGGGGCCGTTGCCCCCTCAGGGGGGGCCCCCCTGAAAATTTTAGGGGGGCCAAAAAGTAGCTCCCTTTGACCTAGGAATATCCCCCAAGTTTCAAATCTTTATCTCACTTAGGTAAAAAGTTAGAGGGGGTGGAAGGGACTTTTGGATCACCCTGTAATTACGTGCTTTAATGGATGAGCCAGAAATTGTAGTTCCTTGTTAAAAAATACAGTCCACTTTATGTTATGTATACTAAGATCTCTTTTCAAAGTACAGTCAAGGATCAAAATTTTAAAAAAACACATCTCTCAAATATATAACTGCGTGCATTTAATCGAACCGTGCATACCCTAACTTATCTTAAAATTCGATGAATTCATCAAATCCGGCAAACCTGCCGTAAATAATCCTTCGGGACGGTGCAGCAGTGGTGGCCCTGGTGGGCGGCGGCGGGGATCTGGTAAGGGAAGCCGAAGCGGGGGGGGGGGGTTTGAGGGGAGGTAATTTTAACGGCGTGGCGTCCGCGAGTATAAATTAACGTCTGAAATCGGCTTCACTCTATAAAACTGAAGTCGGGGGGCTATGATTATTTGTGCATGTAGCTACCCGTGTTCAGCGTGCCGCATTCTGACTGCGAGTCTGCATTGCCGGCTTTGGGATTCGCACCGGAAGTTTTGGGACGTTTTGTTTCGTTCCTTGCGGACGCAAGACCCTGAAGAAACTCCGGTCACAACCAAAGATGGACGATTTCATGGCACCACACAACATTTTAACAATGAACAATGAAATATTCTGGAGCTTTTCTGGGCAGCCACAAAACGTCTCCGAAGGGTATTCACAATCAGTGGCAGCTCCCGAGGGAAAAATTTCTTGCGGATGCACAACAAAGTTATATTGCTCATAGAAGAAACATTGTCACTTGAAAAACAGTTCAATCATAGCATCGTCGGCCGAAACGGGAGAATTTAGACCCGAATTGCTGAAAATATGAGTGGCAAACTGTCAAAAACAGTTACAGGCTCGCAGTGTGATTCTCAATACAAGAGGTGTCGCAAAACAACTGAGACCAAGTCTGTAATTCGGAAACTATGATAGATATCGAAATGCAGTTTACAGGAGGTTGCAGTTTATACTATTAGCATATCAAACCTCAAAATTCGAGTTTATTTGGTTGAAAACTCATTAAGTTATGGCAATTTTTCGAGGACAAGTTGCAAGTAACCCTACAGGATTTTCGAGTTTTCACTCCGCGAACTGTTCCTGAACCGCGCTCAAGATCGCGACGCTGTGGGTCTTGTGCATGTGTGCTTGTCTTTTTGCGTAGGGATCATGCGGGCACTGTTCTGGATGTAGGCATCCACCTGTTAACGTATGTTTTTAGCGCAATCGAGACATTTTGTCCACGTGAAAGCTCATTGCAGCCGAAAATGTCTAGCGTAACGAATGTTATCTCGCGAAGCACAATGAGCTCGCCCACCGAGTTGAACGAGAAAAACGCTATGACATTAGCTATTGCGTTCGCCGAGGCCTTTCTGCCACTAAAACTTTGAATGAGATGACAGTTGCTTATGGACTAAATCGACTTGGCAAAAATACCATTCTCCGCTGGCATAAATGCTTTCCCGAGGGTCGAGAGTCGGCAGCTTTGATTCCGCATGGCGCCCGGCTGTCAATTTCTGCGACAGCGGCAAATATCGGCACCGTGGCCACGGACGAAATGTGTCGATTTCATATCTTCCTACAAATTGGGGTAGTACGTACCGCGATTTTAGAGGCTAACCCCAAACAATTTTTCCCCGTAAATATCATCCAACAACCCTGCTCTTATTTCCGTGATTACTTGGTCGATAAAACCTGTTGAATCATAAACTTTTTTGCGGCCTTAAAATGTCATAATCTTGGATGTCGTTCTGATGTTAGATATACGTCTTTGTATTGGCATTAACAATCCATTGAAACCTCATGTCAGAAGATTTGGCGCTTGCGCCATAAAATGATCGGTTCAATGGGGAATTTGCAGGGGTCTGAAATTTTGTAAAAATCAACTGGAAAATAAAACTAATTTGAGAACTGAGCATGAGGATATCCTTTGTCTCTAAAATTGAACAATTATTGGAGGAAACATGACAAAATAACCTGATCTGCTAAATAGCATGTGTATAAATGGGAAATGCCGCCAGATG